ATATTCAGAATGCATACCATCTTGGGGTGGGGGAGGGGTGAGATGGGGTGAAAATGTAGAACTCAAAAACTTGTGGAAGTGAATGTTGAAAACTAAAAATAAATAAATTTATATTAAAAAAAAAACTTTGGGTTCCAAATTTTCTCCCTTCCTCCCTTCCCACCCACCCTTATTGAAAAGGCAAGTAACTCAGTATAGTTATACATGTACAGTTATGCGAAACACTTCCATAGTAGTCATGTTGTCAAAAACTAATTCTATTTCCCTTAATCCTATTCTGCTCCCCATTTATTCTATTCTTTCTTTTGACCCTATCCCTCCTCAGAAGTGTTTGCTTCTGATTACCCCCTCTCCCACTCTGCCCTTCCAATCAGCACACACACACACACACACACACACTGCTCTCTTGTCCCGTTCTCCCCCTATTTTCCTGTAGGGTAAGACAGATTTCCATACCCAATTGAGTGTATATGTTATTCCCTCCTTAAGCCAAATCTGATGAGAATAAGATTCATTCATTCCTTCTCACCTTCCCCCATTTCCCCTCCACTGTAAAGAGCCCTTTCTTTTCTGTTTTTTTGTGAGATAATTTACCCCGTTCTACCTATCCCTTTCTCCTTCTCCCAGTATAATCCTCTCTTACCACTTAATTTTATTTTCCAGATATCACCCCTTCAATCTTCAACTCACTCTGTGCCATCTATCTACCTATCTATCTATCTATCTATCTATCTATCTATCTATCTATACACACATACATATAATTTTTTCCCTCCAACTACCCTAATACTGATAAGGGTCTCATGAGTTACAAATATCATCTTTCCATGCAGGAATGTAAACAGTTCAACCTTAATACGTCTCTTATGATTTCTCTTTCCTGTTTACCTCTTCATATTCCACTTGAGTCTTATATTTGAAAGTCAAATTTTCTATTCAGCTCTGGTGTTTTCATCAGGAATGCTTGAAAGTCCTCTATTTCACTGAATGACCATTTTTTCCCCTGAAGGATTACGCTCAGCTTTGCTGGGTAAGTGATTCTTGGTTGTAATCCTATCTCTTTGCCCTCTGGAATATTATATTCCATGCCCTGCAGTCCCTTAATGTAGAGACTGCTAAATCTTGTGTTATCCTGATGGTATTTCCACAATACTTGAATTGTTTCTTTCTGGCTGCCTGCAATATTTTCTCCTTGACCTGGGAACTCTGGAATTTGGCTACAATATTCCTAGGAGTTTTCTTTGGGGATCATGTTCAGGAGGAGATCGGTGGACTCTTTCCATTTCTTTTTTTTTAGGCAATTGGGGTTAAGTGACTTGCCCAGGGTCACACAGCTAGTAAGTGTCAAATGTTTGGTCTGAGGCCAGATTTGAACAAAGGTACCCTCCTGACTTCAGGGCTGGTGCTGTATCCACTGCACCACCTAGCTGCCCCAATTCTTTCCATTTCTATTTTGCCCTCTGGTTCTAAAGTATCAAGGCAATTTTCTTTGATAATTTCTTGAAAGATGATGTCTAGGCTCTTTTTTTGGTCATGGCTTTCAGATAGTCCAATAATTTTTAAATTATCTCTCCTGGACCTATTTTCCAGGTCAGTTGTTTTTCCAATGGAATATTTCACATTGTTTTCTAATTTTTCATTCTTTTGAATTTGTTTTGCAGTGTCATGATTTCCCCATAAAGTCACTAGCTTCCAATTGCTCTATTCTAATTTTTAAGAAAGTTCTTCAGTAAGCTTTTGGACTTCCTTTTCCATTTGGCCACTTTTGCTTTTTAGAGTATTCTTCTCCTCATTGGCTTTTGGACCTCTTTTGCCATTTGGGTTAGGCTATTTTTAAGGGGTTATTTTCTTCAGGATTTTTTTGGGTCTCCTTTAGCAAGCTGTTGACTTGTTTTTCATGATTTTCTTGCATCACTCTCACTTCTCTTCCCAGTCTTTCCTCTACTTCTCTTACTTGCTTCTCAAAATCCTTTTTGAGCTCTTCCAAGGCCTGGGACTGATTCATATTTTTCTTGGACGCTTTGGGTGTAGGAGCTTTGACTGTGTTTTCTTCTGGTTGTATGTTTTGATCTTCTTTGTTACCAAAAAGAGATTCTATGGTCTGAATCTTTTTGCGCTGCTTGCTCATGACCCTGGCCAATTACTTGAGTTATAAACTCTTTGTTAAGGTAGGGGGTCTGCTTCCAGTGTAGAGAATGTACTGTCCCAAGCTTCAGGGGTTTTGTGCAGCTGTTTTCAGAGACAGTCTAGGGAGCTGTAAATTTTCAGTTCTTCCAAGGTGGTATGATAAGGGGTGAGGTGTTTACTCCTTTCCTGGCCTGTGCTCTGCTCTATGGGTGACCACGAGCACTCTTTTTCTGTCTTGGAACTATGAGGAGGATTTTCTCTGCACCACCACTACATGCTCCACCACGCCACTGCTCCTCCTCACCACAGGACAGCCACCCAGAACTGTGACCCAGATCCAAGCAATGGCAAAGCAAGAGAATCCTATACCAGCAGAGAGATCCCTGAAATCCCCCTCTGATCAGCCACTCAATTCCCCTTCAGTCTGTGGGCCAGAAGCTCAGGAAGCAACCCCGCCACCCCTGGCCCATGCTAGGGAACTGGGGCTGGGACCCAGCTTCTCTCTTTCACTGCAGAAACAAACTTTTCCCACTGACCTTCTAAGTTGTCTTTGACATTCGTGGGTTGAGAAGTCTGGAAACCATCACAGCTGCCTGTGCTTCAGTCCTTTGAGGCCTGCTCCATGTTTGCTGCAGCCTGCATGTCCACGCTAAACTGTGCTCCTCTCCCAGCCTAGAACGATATACTTTTCCGATCAACCATCCAGGTTGTCTTGGGCTGGAAATTCCTTTCACTCTGTCTTTTTGCGGGTTCTGCTGCTTTAGAATTTGTTTAGATCCATTTTTACAGGTATTTGGAGGAGTTTGGGAGAGAGCTCAAGCAAGTCACTGTTTTCACTCCAACATCTTGGCTCTGCCCCCCCCCTTTATGTAATTTCTATCTTGGTTATCTCCACTGTTTACCACAATGCTTGTTGTTTTTCATACCCAAAAAGGACCAAAATAATATCATGATGTCAAGGTCAACCTACAGTGTGGGCTAACTGTGGCAGATCAGACCAACATGAGCTCAAAAGGCTCTATCACAGGTAGGGCCCAGGTAGTCTATATGAACATTTGGAATGGAAATGTCTCCAAATTTGTACATCTCACATTTTCTTTCTTTATCATTGCAATTCTGCTTTCCTCACAGTGCTTAGTGCCTTCTTTGATATGGACATGCCATGCTGGGCAGTCTTGTGCCAGTGCCTCCCAATCAACCCCAAAATTCTTCAGAAAGACCTTGAAAGTGTCCTTCTATTGCTTCTTCTGACCTCTATGTGAGCACTTGCCTTGTGTGAGTTCTCTGTAAAATAGTCTTTTAGGTAAATGTATGTTTGGCGTTCAAACATCTTGGCCAGCTCATCAGAGTTGCACTCTCTGCAATAGAATTTGAATACTGGGAGTTACGTGCACACATACATGTGTGAACAATATGGAGCAGTTCTCAAAATGGAGTTGCTCTGCATCCACAGAAGCAATGAGGGCTTGAACTAGCATGGTGGCTTTGTGAGTAGAGAGAATTGGGTGGCTTTGAAAGATGTTATAGAGGTCAAATCAGGCAGCAGACACCATACTGACCATTCCTCTGAAGACATACACACATATATACATATACATATACACATATACCTATAGCTCAGCCAGGGATTGGATGATGGCCCCAGCGAGGCAACCCAAGGCCACAGGCCTTTGTCCCAAGGATAGGGGCACTTCTCAGTTGCCACCAAAGACTGGGGTGGGTCCTGACATCCATAGGAACATTGAGATCCAGGGAGCATTCTCAAACCTGATTCACATTCATCACTATGATACCATGAGTCTTGAGTTGGAAACACAAGCCCAAGCCCAAGCCCAAGGGACCAAGAACCCCTCCTTTATCCCAAAGTTTGAGTATAACCCATTTTGGCATAAATGAACAAGTCCTATCCTGCACAGTGGAGGGTGTCACTAATTACATTAGATTCAATTATATCACTGCACTCTATTGATTACACTTTCACTTTATGCTCATACTGGCAACACTGGACCAGGTTAGGCTTATTTAGAACTAGCTGTGCTTGAAAAGAATTAGTAACCAGAAATGGATGGTTATGTCCTGCAGAAAATGAAGTCACTAATGAAGTCGGCAAAGTCATGGAAACCATGGACACATTGACTACAGTAAAGAAAGCAGAAAGAACAATCACCACGAAACAATTAAAAATAAATATGGAAAACTGCAAAAGACATGTAGGAGGAGATGTGTCCCCCTACTCCTTTGCAAAGGAAGAAGTAGAGAGGGGGCCTTGGGTGTGGCACATAAGATTTTATATATGTGTGTGTGTGTGTGTGTGTGTGTGTGTGTGTGTGTATATACATGTATATATGTATTTATGTATAATGTCAGTTTTACTGTATTTTTTATCTGCTTTCCTTTTTCCTTCCTCGCCAAAATGGATTATTTTTTTAAGGGACAGCTTTCTGGGAGTGGGGAGAAGGGAAGAAGAGAGAAAATTAGATGACATAAAAACAAAATTCAATAATAAAAACTGATTTTTTAAAAATACTAATGCTTAAAAATGGCCTTATCTTTAGGAGTCTAATAGGAGTAAACCAAGTGGCCAAAATAGATGTTGTCCAGGAGTCCTATTTTCTTTTGTTTTTTGTAAATGTTTTTTATGTATTTTAAACTTAAATACAAAATGAGGAAAGAAAAAAAATTGCCACATACACAGCACAACATAAGAGAGAGTTCAATATAAAACAATAAATTTCCATTTCAACAAAGCCTCTATAATAAATACTACACATTGTGTTCAAAACTGTCCACCTTTTCTTTGATTCCTTGTAGGTTTTCTTTTGTTCTCGCCTATTCACTTTTTACTTTATTTTTCCCCTCCCCCTTAAAGAAGGCTACAGTTAAGAGCATATATATATACATATACATAGATATCTGTAAATGTACGTGTATTACACATATACACTCATCCATATATATGTAAGACCTTACTATGCTCATTTCCACTTGTCATCTGTTTCTCTGGAAGTAGATGGCATTTTCCTTCATAAATCCAAGTCTTTCCATGATTTTCTAAATGAAGCAGTACATCATTTCCTAAACCACAACAATATCCTCTACTTTCTCTTTATTAGTGTTGAGGGTACCTTCAGAATCACCCTGTACTTCAGTAGGACCATTTGATGGAAACTCACCCAGTGCCCACAGGACCCAGTGCCTCTCCACAGGCTCACCCCCTTCCACCTCAGCTTTACATATGAATTTCTTCCCAAGGTCCTCCATGTGAGGGAAGAACTCCAGCTTGCTTGTGCAGGAGCAAAGCAGTCCATCCTCTGAGGTCTCCAAAGCCTCTGATGTCTTGATGTCCTCCAACATCAACCTGTCCTCCTTATACCAAGACACCCTGACAGCTCTGGGAAAGAAGGAGTGGATCCTGCACGTCAAGGTCACGCTTTCCCCAGGCTGGAGATGGTCTGAGGAACACCGAATCTTTTTCAGCTTGGGCTGAGCTGGAGAGAGAAAGAGCACCAGGGTCAGAGTCAGGACATAGGAAAGGCTTTGTTGTCTTGGGAGAGACCTTCTAAGCCCAGCCTGATGCCTGAATCCTGTGGGGCTGGAAATCTTCATGCAGAGGGAGAGCGGAAACATGTCCCCACACATAGGCCCAGAACTAAGGACAGTTCCTCAGTACCATCAGCTCGCACTGACTGATCTCCCCCCTCCACAGGTAGTTTTCCTGGCTCTGCTGCTTGGAAAGTAAGGGAGTTGGAGTAGATGACCTCTTTCTTTCTGTCCCTTCAGCTCTAAATCTATGATCCAGCAATTGCTGGATTCCCTCCTACTCTAATTGCTATGGCCTTATGACCTCTATTTATTGTCCATGCTGCCCAATATGTGTTGAGTCAAAAAGGACCTGCAGTGTGTCAGACATTATAATGAGCTCTGGGGATATAAAGAAAGGCAAAAATAAACAATCCCTGCCCTCAAGGAGCTCACAATCTAGTGGACAAGACAACACATAGAAAACCATATACAAAGATACAGACTGGATAAGCTGAAGCTAATTTCAGGAAGAAAGTATTAGTATTGAGGGACTGGGAAAGCTTTGTACAAAAACTAGGATTTTCAGTGGCAGCTAGATGGTGCAATGTATACAGCGCTGGCCCTGAACTCAGGAGGACCTGATTTCAAATCTGGCCTCAGACATTTGACACTTACTAGCTGTGTGATCCTGGGCAAGTCACTTAACTCCAATTGTCTTGCAAAAAACAACAACAACAACAAAAAAGTGCGATTTTTTGCTGAGATCTGCCATAAACCACAGAAACCAGGAGGTAGAGCTAAAGAGGGAGAGCAGAACAGGAATGGGGGACAACCAGTGAAAATCCCCAGAGTCAGGAGATGGAATGTCTTGTGCAAGGAACAGCAAGGAAACCAGAGATTTGTACTTAAACACCTAGTAAACACTGGTCCGAGTAAACTTGGACTTTAACTTCTGATTCCAAATTCTGTGTTCTTTTCCTTACATGGTGCTGCCTCCCTAAATGTCCACAGGAAAATAGAACTTACATACACAAAACTCCTATAAAAATATGTACTATAGCATCAAACTGTAGTGTACCTAATTAGAGAGTAAGTTTGCATACTGTCTATGTGCTATTTCACTGGGGCTCTCATTAGCTCCGAGGGACTTAATGACTATTTCTATGAAGATTATTCTCAGATCTGTGTATCTACACTTCTCCAACTGCTCACTGAATATCTTGAAATGGATTTCCCATAGAAACCTCAAGCTCAACATGTCCAAAACGGAACTTATCTTGCCTCCCAAATCCTCCCCTCTTCCTAACTATTCTATTACAGTTGAGGGCATGATTGTCCTCCCACCTGCTCAGGCTCAAAACCTAGGTGACATCCTCCTTACTTTCATCCCCCACCCCCCATATTCAATCAGTTCTTCAGTTCTGTCAAGTCTATCTTCATAACATTTCTTATATGATCCTTCTCTTCTATGACAGTGCCACCATCTTAGTGTAAGCCTCATGACTCAACTGTTGTAGCCTGCTGGTTAGTTTCTTTTCCTCAAGTATCTTCCCATTTCAGTCCATTCTCTACTCAGCTACCAACGTGATTTTTCAAGCACAGATCTGACTATGTTTTGAGCCACTCACTGCACCCCCCTCCTCCAATCAAGTCTAGTCTCTTCCTATCACCTCCAGGTTAACCATATAATTCTCTATTTGGTATTTAAAGCTCTTCATAATCTCTCCCCGCCTAAATTTCTAGCCTTCTTATATCTTACTCCCCTCCATGGACTCTTCATGATAGTTTTTTCTGAGATAGTTTCTTCATCATGAGTCAGTCAGTCAGTCAACGAACATTTACTACATGCCTATGATGTGCTAGGCACTATGCTAAGTACTGAGATACTCTTTTGCTAAAATAGGCAAAAGTGGGGCAGCTAGGTGGCACAGTGAATAGAGCTCTGGCCTTGCAGTCAGGAGGACCTGAGTTCAAATCCAGCCTCAGACACTTAGCACTTACTAGCTGCGTGACCCTGGGCAAGTCACTTAAACCCAATCGCCTCACCAAAAAGCAAAAAAAAAAAAATAGGCAAAAGAGAGTCCCTGCCCTGAGGGAGCTCACATTCTAACTATTTATAGTCTCCCTGTGTGGTTGTGAGGAAAGCATTCTGTGAACCTGAAAGCACTGAGGACACCATGATTCCTATTATTGTTATGTTGTTATTATTACACTATAAGCTGCTGAAAGTAGGAGAAGCTAGGTTTGTCACACCACATACTACCCTATACCCACCCCCACCCCCATACCTGATAGGTTCCCTGCTTAGAACACAGGTGTCATATGCACGGCCCAGAGGCCACAATACATCCGGCAATACCCCCAAATGTGGCCCAAACCAGATGAAAATATAATTGAGAAATTTTTTTAACAAATATTAATATTTTAACAAAATGTTTGTTAACATTTTAACAAAATAAATAAAAATATAATAAAACATGCATAATGTTCACATGTGGCCTTCTAACTGAATCCTCATGTATGGTTTAGTGGCCACCATTTCTACTTGAGTTGATCATAATTGAAAGATGGTGATCAGTTCTGACTGTCACGTTTTGGAATACAGATGTGCAAAGGAAGAAGACAGAAGTATAATGGAAACCAGGCTGCTCACTGGTCACTCAATGCAGCTGAAGATGTTTAGCCTGGACAAGATAAGACTCAGGGGAGACATGACAACTGTCTTCAAGTATTTGAATGGAGAGCCTTCAGAAAACTGGTTGCATTTGTTTCAATTGGCCTTAGAGGACAGAACTAGGTAGAGTTGGCATAGGCAGACTTCAGTAAGGTATAAGGGGGAAAAACAACTTCTAACCATAAGAATTGTCAGAAAGTGAACTGGGTTAGAGAATTATTGAGCCATGAGAAATGATAAAATGGACAATTTCAGAGAAAACTTGGAAGACTTATATGAACTGATGCAGAGGGAAGCAAAAAGAAACAGAACAATTTGTACAATAGCACCATCATAAAGAAACATGAAGATAAGATACTTGGGAACTCTGGTCAATGTCATGAACAACCATGAATCCAGAGGACTGAGGATGAAGGGCCCTACCCACCTCCTCACACAGAGGTGATGGATCAAGAGGCAGGCTGAGATATGCACATTTGGACATGACCAATGTGGGAATTTGCTTTGCTGGACTGTGCAAGTTTGTTATGAGGGTTGTTACTATTGTTCAATTGGGATGAAGATGAAAGGGAAAGAAAATAAAAGTTTGCTAATAAAAAGACAATAAAATTAATTTTGAATATAAAAAATAATTTTCAAACATAAGAAATACTAAGAAGAAAAATAAGTCTTATTTTTAAAAAGACTGAGCTCTCTATGTGGGTAATGAGTTCTTCATTATTAAAGGTCTTCAAGCACAGACAAGATGACCACATGTGAGGAATATCACTTCTAATGCTTGCTATATACGCTGTGTGACTATGGCCAGGTGGCCTAACTTCTCTGAATCTCAGAGAAGTCTCCTCACCTATAAAGTAGGGTTAATGAAATACTTCCTAGGTGGCACAGTGGAGAATGTTGGACCTGGAGTCAGGAAGACCTGAATTCAAGTCTTGCCTCAGATACTTACTATCTGTATGACCCTGGGCAAGTCACTTAATATATCTCTCTGCTCCAGTTTCCTCATCTGTAAAATGGGGTAATAATAGCACCTACCTCCAAGGGTTGTGAGGAGAAAATTACATAATATTTATGAAGTGCTTTATAAACCTGAAGCGCTATAGAAATGCTAGCTATTGTTATTATGACAGGGTTGTTGTAATGAAAATCTTTTATAAATCTTCTAGTGTGCTAGCAAAGGATAAGCTTTATTAAGTCATTATAGAATGGATAATTGTACAGGTGAAGGTTGGGAAAGAGGTCTTTTCTGCTCTGAAAGTCTACAATTCTATGAAACAGTTGTGGTCTGGATTGGACTAGAATGGAATGGAATGGCATGGAATGGAATAGAATGAAAGACTCTTATCTCCCTTTACACAGACGTGGCCATTGCCACATGGCCATCAAGGTTGGTTATCTTAAACACAAGCTATTTGAGACACTCAAAAGCCACAGAAAATGTAGGAATAACCCTTAGAAAGCAATTAAAGGTCACCTTCCACCCTCAACTTACCTATGATCTTCAGATGGATCTTCTTACTGAGGGGGATCTTGAGGGCTGAATGTTCCACCTGGAGAAGGAGATCTGCTTCTGTGAACTCAGCCAGGTCAGACTCCACGGTGAGATGACATGATATTCCAAAGACATTATACCTCAAGGCCTGGACTACAGGATTCAAGGTGAACCCTGCCTGGCTCTCCATCAGCTGCATGGATTCTGGCTTTTCCTCCTTTTCCACACCCTGAGTCTTCCAACAAAAGAGGAGCTTTTCCTCACTCTTCTCACTGTGGGGATTGGTCTTTAGGAAAAGCTTCAGCGTCAAAGATTTGGGCCTGTAGTCCCAAATCACAAAATGCAAAGTCTTCATCTCCTGGTGCTTGAGGTACTGTACTGTTTCTGGGAGTGGGCTCAGCACAGGTGCCACTGAGGAGAGACATGTGTTGTCCTGAGTAAGCTAAAAACAAATCAAGCATTTGAGCCACAGACTTCCCACCCCACCAACCACCCAAACCTATCAGGACTAAGGACAGAGGCTAACACAGAGAGAATAAGCTCTCACTCAGAGGCCCGGAGTAGAGAGGCAGAGCTATATAGTAGAAAGCGCTAGCCTGAGAGCACAAAGACCTAGGTTCTGAATCTTGCCTCTGTCACTGCTTTGTATGAATGAACTTGACCACAAACTCTCTGACTCTCAGATTCTTCATATACAAAATGAAGATGGCAATGCCAGCACTACGTACCAGGGGCTGTCATGAGGAAAAGGCTCTGTGAACCTGACCGCACAACAGAAAAATCAGCTATTTTTATCATTTCTGTTTTCAGAAGAACCATGCTGTGTACTTGGGGCAACGGTTGTGCGCTTGGATGTGAGTTTTTGTTAAGAATTTCTTCTTTTCTGGACCTCCATTTCTACATGAAGGGATTAAATGAGATTCAAGTCCCTTCCAATGATGATTCATTGGGCGGGGGGGGGGGAATGGGGAGCAGAGAAGAATAAAGAAAAAAGAAATGTACATGATAATTTTGTTGTATATTTGAATGGAATAGCAAGTTGTGCGTGGCAGATTTGCAGTTTCATGTACGTCATCATCTTTTTATTGTACTATGTTATGGAAATGCTTGTTTTATTCCATAAATTAAAAATTGAAAAAAATAATTCATGGCACCTTAGGTTGTACCCATTTTGTTTTGTGGCAAGTTTGGTGCCTGGAGGAAGAGGATGGGCAAGGCTCTCTGCATCTCTGAGAGAGAAGGAAGGAGGATCTGGGCAAATTCACCTTCCTCAGCTCATTCTCCCAATTTTAGACATTGGAAAACCGAGGCCTAGAAAGGTGCAGTGATTTGCCCAAGGACACCTAGTGAGTCACAGAAACAAATGGGTCCCTGGACCCATGCATTGGATCTGGCTGCCTGATACCAGAGACCTGATGGGTCATTCAGGCCCCTGCCATTCCCAATCTATGTCTTTCCTCTTGGCTATAGCAGAGATACCCAGGGATAACAGAAAGAGTTAGGAAACCTGAGTTCTAGTGGTAAATCTCTCATGAATTTTCTGTATGACTGGGGGGCCTTTAATTTAACCTTAACACAGTTTCTGACACATTGATAAACACTGATTGATTCATTTAGTAAGCTCTCTCAGTCTCAGTCTCCACATCTATGAAATGGGACCAAGAGTACATCTGCTATCCATCTCACAAACCTCTGATAAGGGACAAATTAGGTAACAATGATGTATGCAAGTGCTCTTAAAAATATAAATTGACTAAAATATGTAAAAGAGAGCAGAAAGAAGTTCAGAAGAGGACACAGGCACAAACACGGGGACAGTGTGAAATATAACAGGCAGTAGAGACAGGAAAGAAACCTGTGATTTCATTATGATAGGGAAGTCCCAGGTGAGGAAGCTCCCTCCTCCAATGCAAATTGGCACCTTCTCTTCAACTTACAGTCTTAGAGTATTTCCTACAGAGGTTAAATAAGTTACTCAGAATCACACAAGCAGTATGTGTCAGAAGCCTGATGTCAACCCAGGTCTTCACAGCTCCAAGGTTGGCTCTCCACTCCCTACTCTAAGCCATCAAGATTCCACATATAATTCAAAAAACTCATGGCTTTATTTCTAATCCTCTTCTCTCCTTTGCATATGGAAATGTTTGTGGTTGTCAGGCTCATAATAAAAAAATTTAACAATATGTAAAATGAGGGAAATATGAATTATAGTACTTACCATTATTAAAATTCATCCAGTAGAATCCTCTTCCAAGGCCTTACTTATCATAGTATGGAGGGGGTGACCCTGGATTTTAAGAGTCTATGCCAGTGGTTCTTGTCAGCTGACAAGGCCTGAAGTGTAAGTCTGGTGTGAACAGTGCACCTCTCACCTAAGGGACTGGTCTGGCTAGTAGAGGCTTATTATCTGGAGGTGGGAGGCTCTTTCCTTGTTGGATTCTGCTCTCAAGAGAAACTCAAAATTTCATGCAAGAACAAACCAGTGTTACACTGGAGTTGACTGCTAAGACTGCCTATTAAAGTGGGAAGGGACTGTGAGTGACCTACAATGGTAGAAAGGAAACCCACAGCAATGAGGTCACAGATCTTTCAGCATCATAGACTGTTAGAGCTGGAAAGGACCTTAGACATCATACAGCCCAGTATCTTCATTGTAGAAAAGAAGAACCAAAGTCTAGAGAGTCTGAGTGATGGCTCAGGATAAGATCACAATCAGGGATTCAAACCTGGATCTTCCTCATCTAGTTGTGATGCTTTAGGAAATCCTAATTTCTACCACACAGCATTGTCTCCTTTGGAAGGATGAGGTTGGATTCACATAATTACATTCCCAAAAGTGATAACATCAAAGACTCTCTAGCATAACATAGATTTGTTCTAGAATTAAATTTGGAGTTTCTCTTGAAAGCAGGTTTTGACAGAAGGAAGGACCTCCATTTGAAATTGTGACCAAAACTGTGTATTCCCTTCAGTACCCCTATTCATCTCCTCCTCTATGCTTCCTCCTGTTCCTCCTAGGGACCACTCTGATGACTGTGAAATGCTTGGCTCAGTTCAGCCCCTTACCTCTCTTTTAAAATACGTTAAAATGAACTTCATTAAGATCTTTTATTGAACATCACATTGAACCTACATTTCCCAATGTATTTCTCCCCTTCATCGCCCCAAAGCATTTCTTACCTTTTCTGAGAAATTCAACCAACATCCAAACAAAGGAACATAGGGATATCACTACGAGTATGTACCCAATGATCCCCCAGATGATTTTATGAGACTCAGGGTAGGACCCTGCCAGGGTGACATTCTTGATGTACATGTTCTTTTCCTCCATTATAGTTTCTGGTGGCAAATGGATGCTGGAGGGCTGAGCTGTAAGGAGATAAGACTCATTGTTGGGCCATGCTAAGGACACATTGGAAGTCAGTCAGTCAGTCAGTCAATCAATAAATACTTATTAAGCACCTACTATGTTCAAGGCACTGTGCTAAGCACTGTTCCAGAAGATTCAATTCTCACCATCCCCTCATGCATTAAAGGACACCCACCCCCACACTCAAAACATGCAAATACACATATACACAGAGATGGTCATCATATAGACTGAGTCTATATAAGACAAGAAAAAATTATTCTTCTGGATTATGTTACAGATGAAGAAATAGGGCTACACAGAGTAGAAATTTCTTTCCCAGAGTCACAGAGACTAAAAGTCATAAGTACTGATGAGGGTCCCTGGGAACCTCTCTCCTTGGTTCATATTTCAATGTACCACACATTCATAATTTCCTACACATAGGTACTTGCTCCACTCACGAAGATTGCAAGTACTCCAAGGTGTAGCCAACCTTGCTAGACAGTGTCGTGAGTCTTACTCAGTGGGGACTCAATTACTCTGGGTTGAAGTACAGGGTAAACAGGGGACTTTGGAGGATACAAGCTCTGGCTTTAAGTCCCAGCTTGAATAACTTTCTGTATAAACGTGGGCAAATTATGTTTCTCAGCCTCAGTTTCCTCCTCAATAAAATGGGGATAGTAATCTTTGCTTCAAAGGTTTATCATGAGGAAAATGCTTTGTCAATCTCAAAGGGCTGTAGAAATGGAAGTTATCATTACTGTTTGATCAATTAACTTATAGTCCATCTCAGCCATCCTCTGTCCAGACACACATTTCCAACTCTGAGCCATCCAACACTAGAGACCAGGTCCCTTCTCACTCACCAACCACGTCCACTCTGGCTGTTCTCTCCACTTTGATAGGAGGGATGATTATTTCACATCTGTACTCTCCTCCTTCTTGAAACTGGATAGCAGGCAAGAAGAGAGAGGCATTTCCCTTCCTCAGCCCTGACAGTGAGATGCTGGCTCCTAGTCTGAACTGAGTCTGTTTTCCTCCATTGTACTCAAAGACATTGTCTTCCTTGTCAGAGTTTGACCTTCTCTGGAACCACCTGACTCCAATGACATTGATGTTCAGGTTTACAGAATCATGTTCATACAACATACAGGGGATGGTGACATCTGCATTGAGGAATACGATCTGAGCCTTCCCATTCATCTTCATTTCCAGATTATCTACAAGAATGAGGGTGGACAGACTGTGAGCTGACATCCAATTAAGGATCCCCCCCATGTGGCACAGAAAGAGCTAGGCAGTCGAGTCACAGGGCAGGGCATATCTAATTCAGAAAGCATTTATTAAGCATCTGTTAGGCCCAAGGCTACATATTGGAAATGAAAAATAAAAACAGTATACAGTTTCTAACAGAATACAGTGTACGTCCCTAGCCTTCTACTAGCTTACACTATATTCTACCTGGGTGTTATATCAGAACATGCAAGGAAAATGAAGTCAGAAAGGAACTCTAAGAATTGGGAGGATCAGCAAAGTCTTCAAGGAGAAAATGGCGCCTGAAATGAGCCTTGAAGGAAGATTAAAGAGTCTGAGGCAGAAGAGAGGGACAGGAGAGAGAAATTTCCAGGCCTGGGGAATGATTTATGCAAATGCTTTGAGGTGGGAAATGGAATACTAAGTTTAGAGAAGAACCATCTGTTGGTTTAGTTAGAGCATAAGAGTCCATGCAGGGGAATAGTAGGAAATGGGGCTAGAAAGAAGAAAATTGTGGAGAACTCCAGACACCAGATTAGACTATATTTTACCCTACAGGCAATGGTGAGCTACTGAGGATTTTTGATCAAGGAAGTGACAGTCAGGAGAGAGAACATGAGCAGACAACTAATTGGGAGGCTTTTATAGTAGCCCAGGTAAAAGGTGAAGAGTGCCTGAATCAGGGTAAGGGCTGTGTGAATGTAGAGAAGGGTTTGGATGCAGGAGATGTTATAACAGGATAGCTATCTCCTTTGAATATCACTTTAAGGTTTGCAAAGTGCTTTACAGAGATTATTCTACTCGATCTTCATAACAACCCTGGGAGGTAGATGCTAATACCATCCCCACTTTACAGATGAGGAAACTAAGGGAGTCAGAAGTTAAATGACTTGCCTATTAAGTATATCAGCTATTAAGTATATCAGGTGGGATTTGAACTCAGGGCAACTGATTGGACATGGAGGTGAGAAAGAAGGCTAGTCTATCTCTACTTTCCACACCTTCATAAAGGCTGTCCTTTGTGCCTGGGATGTACTCCTTTCTCACCTCTGCCTAGTAGAATCCCTAGCTTCCTTCAAAACTCAGCTCCAGTCACTTCCCATGCAAAGCCTTTCTTAAATGTAAACAAGATCCTCAAGATGAGACACAGTGGCAAGGGGGACACACATGGAGGGTTTGGCCTTTGCAAGGAGGAGGGAAAGGGAAATGAGAGAAAGGAAGAGAATAAGCATTTTATTAAGTACCTATTACATGCCAGGCATTGCGCTAAGTGCTTGGACAAACATGGTCTCATTTGATCCTCATCCCAATCCTGGGAGGTAGGTGCTATTGTTATCCCAATTTTAGAGTTGGGGAAACTGAGGCAGAGAAAGCTGAAGTGACTTGTCCAGGGTCACAACTCTAGTGCCTCAGGCCAGATTTGAACTTAGACCTTTCTGATTCCTACCCTAGTGCGCTATTGGCTGCACCACCTAGCTACCAACAAATAAAAACAAAGGAGCAGAGCATGGGTCAAAATGTATAGAGTTCTTGAGGCAGAGAATGGGGGACAAGACGGACTTCTCAGCTATTGGCCCTTGTATTTAAAGGAAAATAAAATGTAAGAACATCTGCTAAGAGAAGAGAGAGGTCAGGACTGGGGTGGAAAAAGAAGCCACTGAGGAGAGGGGAAGAGCAAAAATCAAGGAGGAATGAAAGTTGGAGCAGCCAGGGCCCAGGTGAGATTAGATTAAAAAACTTAAGTTGTATTGTTTGAGAGCAAGGATTGTTTCACTTTGGGGACTTTGTAGCAACCTCACAGTCAAGGCTGTGAAGAGACCAATGTGAGTCCAGAGCAGGGGGGATAGACTGGGAGTGCAGGGAGGGTGGAGGGACTAGAGGTTACTGTGAGGATGGAGACCAGGTTTAGGTGGAAGGAGACTGGGGGAGGGATGAAAAGCATTAGGTTGTGATAAGAAAAGGTCATTTCTGAGTTCAAAATCATGAAGGGAGACGGCACAGTTCTGGATGTGGGTGAGATCTAAGGTGTGGCCATCCCTGCCAGTGGCTAAGGTAGACTGAAGATCACGGGAGGGAGAAGTTTGATGAACTCAGAGTTAATACAGGAACCTGGTGCCTGGCTCACTCCCTCTCCATTTCTGGTTCATCCTCTGGCCTCCTCCATCCTCCTCAGAGACACTTTTCTTTCCTCACTCCCCCTTTCCAGGCACCCTTTATGTTTTGTCTTCCCTATTAGAATGCTAGCTCCTCCAGAGAAGAGCCACCCCTTGTTTTCTTGTCTTTGTGCCCCCAGCACTTAGCCCAGTGTGGGGCACTTAGGAGCCACTTAAATGCTCTCCCTACCAGTCTATCATCTGCCTCTTTGTCTAACTCTCTATCCAGATGTTTTTCTATCCACCTCTATCGTCTATTCCTCTCCATCCATCTATCTATCATCCATCTCTCTCTAGGTGTTTGAGGAAACATGGTCATCCATACTTCAGGCCCCAAGGTTAAGGACAAGATTTGGGTTGGAAAGAAAAACTTTGGGCCATGTACTCTACTAGAGAAAGAAGGAAGAGTGACTTGGAGGCTAGCAGATTGAAGCATCAAGAATCTGGGCTGGATGCTGGCACTTCCCAGCTATTTCTAAGTTAGGCTGCATTCTGGCCATCCCTCTCATCCTCCCATCTGCCCAGGGGACCTAACAAGTGAGCCTAGCCCTTATCCTGGCCAGACCCTGGGCCACCACACACTTCCAAGCTATTTCCAAACCAAGATTTCACAGGTCCTCCACCCCCACCTCCCACTTGCAACTCTGGAACATGAGGAAGCATCAGATCGTTGATTTAGAGCTGGAAAGAGCTTTAGAGTTCATCTAATCTGATTCCCTGATTTTTCAGATGTCTCTGGGAGGATGAACACCTTGACCAGGGGTCACAGGGCTCTCAAATAGCTGATCTTGGGATTTTCAGGCACCGTCCTCTGATTCCAAATTCAGTACTTCTATGACAATGCATTAAACAGCCTTCAAAGCCCTCGCCTGAGAAAGTAGTGGAGGTGAGTGAAGTGCTCCATTCTGAATGTGGAAAGAAAATTTTGAGGGTTTGGATCTCATTAAGATAAGAAGGAAATGGGAAGATTTCTGTGCCTGTTAACGTGCGAATATTCAGGGGAGAAATGTCTCTTAGAATCAAATAAATAAATGAATGAAGCCTTCCCATCACTGCCAGCCTTGTTAGTCACGGGGTTGTAGCAGAAACCACCGCAAAAAGAGGAGGTTGGGGCCGTGGAGCCTGGAGGGAGGGCTGGGGGACGGGAGGAAGGGTGAGAAGGGGAAACCTGACAAAAGAACTGCTAGAACGCAGCGCCCTCGTGAGACTCACTCCAGAATAGGCTCCGAGAAGAACGCGAGGTGGGTGACTTTGCACAGCCCTGCCTCACTTAAGTCCAATTCATTTGCTAGTCAGGGCATCGTCTTCCTGACGTCATGGTCCTCTTCCACAACACAGAACAAACAACAGCAGCAAAAACTCCAGAGTCCTGATAATCACCCCCAGACTGCCCTCCTGATAGACACACCCAGGGCCTCAGCCCTGGGAAAGGAAGAGAAGGACCCAGATTCCAATCCCCGTTCTGCTGCCTGCCTCAATTATTTTAACAATCTCGTCCCCTCTCTGGGCCTCACTTTTCTTCAATGCCCAATAAAGGGGCAGGACTGGGTGATCCCTTAGGTCTCTCCAAATTCTAAGAGCCCCTGTGTGAGACCCGGGACTAGGCGAGGAGGACAGGGGACAGGAGGAGCCCACCGACACATTCAGAAACCAGCTCTGGCCACCCTGCCAGAGCTTGTCTGCATTGAATCCGAACTCCCCAACACCAATGCTCTGTCTCATAGATGCCCAGAGGTGAAGGGCTGGAGAGGAGCCGGGGAGGGGAAGTGGGGTAAAGGGGAACTTCCCAGCCTCTCCGGACGCAAGACTCGGTTTGCACCTAAAGCCCAAGAAACCCCGCCCGATACAGTGACCCGAGAGTGACCACGCCATGAGTCTCGCGGCACACGTGGGCAGAAAAGCGGCTAAAGCAGCCTCTCATCTTTCCCTCGAAGTGCAGAAAACCCGACTACCAGGAGGGGCAGACGCCCTGCAGACCCGTGGCAGTGGGGGAAATCTGTGCTTTACTGTCAATCTGTGGAACTTCTCTTGACTTCATTTATTTTTCTCCTCTAGAAATGAAGGAACCAGGGTCACAGATTTCGAGCTTAAATACTCTAAATCCCTCATTTTACAAGGGAGGATGCCCAGGGCTCTCTTCAGACTGGCCCGGAGGGGCAGAACCACTCATTAATGTGGCTCATTCTTTCTAGCTCCGGTTCCCAGACGGAGGGGGAGAGTTGAGGGAAGGGACGGAGAAGTCCTGCATTCCCATTTCAGTTCTGGTGCTTGCTGCCTGTCACTGTTCCCCATTCCGGACCTCTTTCCTTCACCATAAAAAAAAAGAGAAGGGGGGGCGGGGCATTGGGCTAGAATATTCTAGAGGCTAGAAGCTACGTGATTCTCAAAGGCTCCCGGCTCTAAGCGCCCGTGCATTCAAGGACTTAGAAGAGAAGGATTTGAGTTGAAGCAGTCGACCTCATGGATCAGCAACAGGCCCGGGAAAATCTGGAGAGACCGTCCAAGACTGCCGGCGCAAAGAACACCACGAAACCTGCCGGGATGGCGCGCGGGCATTCACACTCCCTGAGCCATCCCGGCCAGGCTTGGGAACGTGAACCCTCCCCCGGAACGCTGAGCTCGTCTCCTTCTTCCTTACCTGGCACGTATTGGGCCCCGCACGGTCCCAGGAGCACTCCCAAGCAGATCCCAGCGGCTGCCAAGTGGTGACCACGAACAGCCATTATCACAATTCCAGACCCGAGGATCGGAGCAGCTTTCTTATATAGCAGCTGGAGGGGGCGGGGAAGGGGGAAGTTACGCTTTCCTGCGCAGCTAGCTGTTTGGGGAGAGCCTGCTTTTTTAACCACAATCAGAAACTCCACTTCCGAGAGGAGCAACCCACACAATACAGAAACGAGTTAAGTGCCCTCTGGGCCACTTCCTGAGAAGGAGGAGTTCATTCATTCTGCCAAGTTTTAGTGAGCTCTTCCTCTGACTGTAAGGAAGTTACTGGATAGGCAAGTGTCTTATTCGCAGAGGAGTTGAAGGCACTGGTGGTGATCGCTGGATGAAGAAAAGCCAAGGAGTGATACGACAGCTTAAATGAGGGGGAGATGTGTAGGGTGTGTTCAGGGAAGACTAGTGCCTCTGGCGTGAGGGCCGCTTTCCACCTTTGGTGTGTGTCCACCCGTTCCCCCGAACTCTCACCTGTGGCTCCAAGAAGCAGTAGCATGCCCAGCGGCCACACTCCCAGTAAACTATTTTTCGGCAAACGGGCTAACCAGCTTGAGAGTGACTGAGGGGTCTCCAACCCCCCTGGTGGAATTGGCCAATGAGAACAATATGTTCTAAAGGCCATGAAGCCAGTTAAAGTGGAAGCTGTGGAGCACATAGAGCTTTGGTTAGACATGGCAAGATGCCAAGGTCACCCACTGCATCTTGAGCCATCAGTAGTCGTCTTGACTCTATCCTGCCACTCTGGATTGTGGTGACTCTGGAGGAGAGAGGGAGGTGGACACACACATCAAAAGACACCACTCATACCCTTTTACCATTTTTACCTATCTCAAAGTCTGTGGCAACAGGCAAGTGACCAAACAGCAGGTGTGGATAGGCTGGGAGCTGTAGTCACCACACTGCACACAGGAGAGCACAGGGTAGTCTTCTCACTGGAAACAGCAGTGGGATTTGGCAGCCCCCTAGGTGTCAGGGCAGCCTTTTCAGGATCATACTGCTCATCTCCTGGTATACCAAACATCACACCAAACACCACAAGGTACATCAAAGATTACATATTATCTGATTTTCTGTTTAATCAAATTTAAAAGAAATCTATAGAAAGAATGACTGGAACAAAGGATTTTTTTTGCTTTTTTTATTAATTTGTTTTGATTTGTCAACAATCACTTCCATAAGCTTTTGAGTTTTAAATTTTTCTCTCCCTCCCCCCAAGACAGCAAGCAATTTGATATAGGTTTTCACATTAGTGATGTTGTAAGGAAGAATTAGAACCAATAGGAGAGGGGCAGCTAGGTGGCCCAGTGGATAGAGCACTGCCCCAGGAGTCAGGAGGACCTCAGTTCACATCTGGCCTCAGACACTTGACACTTACTAGTGTGTGACCCTAGGCGAGTCACTGAACCCCATTGCCTAGCCAGAAAAAAAAAAAGAATCAACAAGAGGAATCATCAGAAAGAGGAAACAAAACAGAAGAAAAAAAAACAGGAGAACTTTGTACACACTAACAGCAACATCTTAGCTCTTTTCAGCAGTACAAGGACCTAAGACATCTCCAAAGGTCTCATGATGGAAAATCCTATCCACATCCAAAGAAAGAACTATGGAGTTTGAATGCAGATCGAAGCATACTATTTGCTATTTTTTTCTTCTGTTTTGGAACCGTTTTCTTACATTTCTAACAAACATTACACTGGAGAATATGACTTTTTACAATGCATGTCCAAAGAAGAAAAGAAACTCATACACAACAGAATTTAGCTAATGCTTGAATCTGTGTCTCTTTCACTTTGTTTTCAAAAGCAATTATTCATTGTTAAGTAGTCCAAGGAAAGCACAAATCAATCTGTTTGGTATACAAACAATACAGCGTTGTACAGATCATGGCAGTTCATTTTAAAAGCCACGTTCTTGATCATCTAGAGTTGCAGCTATGTACATGTGTTCTAAGTCAGTTCTGGAATTCTGTGAACAGGTTGCTGATTCACAACTACTGTTGTTATCTTCTGAACACTTTTATTTTATTTTTTTAATTTGCACATAAAAGCACAATTTAACCTTCATTTTTTTGAAATTTTTTTTGGTGAAGCAATTGGGGTTAAGTGACTTGCCCAGAGTCACGCAGCTAGTAAGTGTCATGTGTCTGAGGCTGGATTTGAATTCAAGGTCCTCCTGACTCCAGGGCTGGTGCTCTATCCACTGCACCATCTAGCTGCCTCTCATTTTTTATAATTTTTTGAATTCCAGATCCCTTGCCTTGCTCCCACCCTTCCCCTTTCCTTGACAAGGCAAGCACATTGATATAGATTATACATGTGTAGTCATGCTAAATACATTTCTGTATTATCTATGTTGCAAAAGAGAACACAGATCAACAACAAGAAAAAATAAAGTTAAAAAAAATACCAGCATACCTTGTTTTATTACACTTCCCTTTATGGTGCTTCACAGATACTGTATTTTTTTTTTTTGCTTTTTGGTGAGGCAAACAGGGTTAAGCGACTTGCCCAGGGTCACCCAGCTAGTAAGTGTCATGTGTCTGAGACTGGATTTGAACTCATGTCCTCCTGACTTCAAGGCCAGAGCTCTATCCACTGCGCCACCTAGCTGCCCCAGATACTGTGTTGTTTACAAATTGAAGGTTTGTGGCAACCCTACATCAAGCAAGCCTATCAATGCCGTTTTTCAACAGCACATATTCACATCATGTCTCTGTGTCACCCTTTGGTAATTCTCTCAATACTTCAAACGATTTCATTATTGTTATATCTGTTACATGTTCTGTGATCAGGGATCTTTGATGCTACCATTGCAATTGCTCTGGGGTGCCAACACCTGTACCCATATTAAGGGCTGAACTTAATAAATGTTCTGTGTGCTCCACCAACCAGCCCTTCCCACCTCCAGCTTCCCTATTCTCAGAGACACAACAATATTGAAATTATGCCAATTAATAACCCTACAACAGCCTTGAAGTGTTCAAGTGAAAGGAAGAGTCAACTGATGTGGCAAACTTCATTGTTGTTTTATTTTAAGAAACTGCCATACCCACCCCAACCATCAGCAACCACTCCTCTTATCTGTCAGTGGCCATGAACATCAAGGTAAGACCCTCCACCAGCAAAAAAGATTATGAAACACTGAAGGCTCAGATGGTAGTTAGCAATGGTATTTTTAATTGAGGTATTTACATAGGGTTTTGGGGGGGCATTAGCACACTTAACAGACTACAGTATGGTACAAACAACTGTTATATGTACTGGGAAACCAAAAAAATTGTGTGACGTGTTTAATTCTAGCATTCACTTCATTGCAGTGGTCTGGAATGGAACCCTCCATATTTCTGAGCTATGATGTCTGTATTCTTCTATCTACATTCAGACTCCATCAGTTCCTTCTCAGGAGGTGGACAGCATTTTTCATCACAAGTCCTTTGGAACTGTCTTGTAAAATTGTGTTGCTGAGAATATCTAAGTCATTCACAGTTGATCATCGTACAATATTACCGTCACTGTGCACAACCATCTCCTGGCTCTGCTCACTTCACTTTGCATCAATTCATATATGTCTTCCCAGGTTTTTCTGAAATCATCCTGCTCATCATTTCTTATAGCAGAGTAGTATTCCATCATGAGCATATATCACAACTGGTTCGGCCATTCTCCAGTTGATAGGCATCACCTAGTTTCTAGGAAATAGGGCTAGAAAGAAGAAAACTGTGGAGAACTCCAAATGCCAGATTGAAGAAACTGTATTTTCCCCTATAGGCAATGGTGAGCTACTGAGGGTTTTTGATCAAGGAAGTGACAGTCAGACCAGAACCTTTGGCAACTGCGTAGCAGATGGGCTGGAGAAGAGAGAGAACATGAGTAGACAACTGATTGGGAGGCTTTTATAGCAGCCCAGGTAAAAAGTGAAAAGTGCCTAAATCAGGGTAAGGGCTGTGTGAATATAGAGAAGGATTTGCATGCAATAGATATTATAACAGGATAGCTATCACGTTTAAATTACACTTTGAGGTTTGCAAAGTGCTTTGTGGACCTTATTATTTCACTCAATCTTCATAACAACCCTGGGAGGTAGGTGCTAATATCATCCCCACTTTACAGCTGAGGAAACTGAGGGAGTCACAGATTAAATGACTTGCCTAGGTTCACACAGCTATTAAGTATATCAGGTGACATTTGAACTCAGGTCAACTTATTGGACATGGAGATGAGAAAAAGGGCTAGTCTATCTCTAATTTCCATGCCTTCATACAGGCTACCTTCATGCGTAGAATACACTCCCTTCTCACCTCTGCCTAGTAGAATCCCTAGATTCCCTCAAAACTCCTGTTACTTCCCATAAGACACCTGTCCTAGACCTCACCCTATCCCACCCCCTCAAGACAGTAATGTCCTCTCCACTGGCAATCATATATGTGTGTGTGTGTGTGTGTGTGTGTGTATGTGTGTATGTGTGTGTGTGTGTACACATATATGTTTTTTGCATTTATTTATACATTCATGTCATCTTCCTCTAATAGAATTTAAGCTTCTGTAGGGCCAGAAATGTTTTGTTTTTGACTTTGTATCCCCAGAGTCTGCTTGACAAATTGAATTGAATGGAATTGTGTCAAGCGTGCCTACAAAAAAATAAAATCTGAGTGACCAGGAGAATGATGGTGCCATCAATAGAAACAGGGAAGCTTGCATTCAAAGTGGAAGATGTCTTTGATGAATCAAGGGGCAGCTAGGTGGCACAGTGGATAGAATACCAAGCCTGGAGTCAGGAGGACTTGAGTTCAAATCTGGCCTCAGACATGATACTTAACTAGCTGTATGACCCTAGGTAAGTCACTTAACCCTGACTGTCTCACCAAAAGAGACAGAGAGGGAGAGAGAGAGAGAGAGAGAGAGAAATACAATCAACATTAATTCATGGTAAGAACTCTACAAATGAAAGGTATAGAGGAATCTTTATTAACACTATAATCTGTGTATAAATAGAGAAGTTTGGAGGAGGAACATGGGCAAGAAGAAAAAAATGCTTTCTGTTTTGGTCATTTTGAATTTAAGATGCCTTCAGAACTATCAAAAAAATATATGGCAGGTCATTGACAACTGGTTACTGGAGTTCAGGAAGGAGATTTGAAAG